GGTTTTCCTGCTGTGCCTCTATCATAGCAGAGAGCCCCTGAATGATGGGGAATAATGAGCATTGACTCCATGATTGCAGAAGGCTGATCAATCACTTAATTCTACTGCATTAAACTATACTATTAAGAAAAACCCCATTGCCCTTGCAGACAGTCTGATACAGCTTTGGCCTAACTGATCAATTAATCCAAACACCATCAGTGCCCAATTAAGGACTGGTAAACAATTTTTGTTTACAAATTTTTTTTACCAAACAATTAAGGATTGGTAAACAATCTCCATAACACGTTCCACATGTGCACAACAACAGGTGCAACAAGTGGAGATAAGAATTGTTTCTCATTCTTTTCTCTGAGCTTTCTCACAGCTTCCCAGGGAAATCCTGAGAGAGCTATGTCTGTCTCTGTTCACAGGATATGTGATCAGCACATGCCTGTGCCCAGCAGGTCCTGGGGCACCCCTCACTCCAGCCTTGTGCCATCTCCCATTGGGGATGTCCCTGTGGCCAGGTGCAGCTCCCCAAGCCCTGCTGTCCCTGTCCTGTCACCTGTCCTGGACAAGCTCAGCTCCATCAGGTCCCTCTGGCAGCACTCAGGTGTCCCCAGCTTTGCTGGGCCCTGCTGGTGCCCCCCCAGAGCCCCCCACTCCTTTCAGCCCCTCCAGTCCAGGCATCCTTGGAGCCTCCTGTGCTGATCCTCCCTCTCCTCACCCTGGATGTCAGGTTGGGCAGGATGCTGCTTGAGAGAAAACCAAAACCCATGAAAACCAGGAAAATGGCTAAATTAAACACCCTGCACACAAATGGTAATGGGCTGGAGCAGCTCCTTACACCTCAGCCTGAGGCACTGGAGGATGAGTCCAAGTGGGACCTTCAGGAGGTTCAACCAGAAACTTTCTAAGTGATTAAAAAGAAAATTAATTTGTTCTGGGTTATTCAGAGAATCTGTTATAGTAAGGAGGGAATGGATTACTGGGATGCAGGACTGGGGAATGTTCAAAGGGAAGGAGTGGGTGGGGAAAGGACAGGCTTGGGAAAATGGGAATGGGGAGAATCACAGAATCACAGGGTAGTCTCAGCTGAAAGGTACCTAAAGCTCATCTCATTTCACCCCTGTCATGGCAGGGACACCTTCCACTGTCCCAGGCTGCTCCTAAGCCCTGTCCAGCCTGGCCTGGGATCCAGGGGCAGCCACAGCTGCTCTGGGCATCCTGCCCACCCTCCCAGGGAGGAATTCCTCCCCAATATCCCATCCAGCCCTGCCCCTGGCAGTGTGAAGCCATTCCCCTGTCCTGTCACTCTGTGTCCTGGGGCTGGTGGCAGGCAGTGCTCACCTGGCCAGCCCTGCTCCTCTCCCCAGGGCCTGTCCCCCACATTAAACTCTGTGCCTGGGTGTTCCCTGTGTCCCTCCCTGTCTCTGTTTGGGCACAGGCACACCTGACCTGAGGGCAAACACAGCCTGGGGGTGGGGGAAGCACCAAGGCTGGAGCTGGGGGGCTTCTGAACAGGGCAGGGGTCCAGGAGTGAATTGGGAGGGACTCAGGATGTGCCCTGCCCGGGCGGAGGGGCTGTGCCAGCAGCCCTGGGCTATGGGAAGCTGGGCAGTGCCCTGGGCAGCCCCGGGGAGGATGGGCAGTGCCCTGAGCAGCTCCAGGGAGGATGGGCAGTGCCCTGGGCTGTGGGAGGAGGGCTCAGGAAGCTGGGGAAGGCTCTGCTGGTGTTAACCAGGGTGCACAACAGG